GAGCTCTGGTAGCATAGTGGCTAAGGCACTTGACTGCTAACCAGAAGGCTGGTGGTTCAAACCCACCAACCACTCCTCAGAAGGAAGGTTGGGCATTCCTACTTCTGTAGTGATACTGCCTCGGATACCCAAGGAGGGGTCGCTATGAGTCAGGGCCGACTCGATGGCAAACAACAACAACAACATGTATATGTATATATACGTTTTTTTTTTCCTACTATCCTTTTGCAAAATATCCCACCATAACATTTTGTATATATTTTACTGGATTTTAAATACATATAAAATTATAAATATGTATATATTTTTAAATGTACCTGTATCCATATAAAACTGTTTTTGAACTTGGGTGTCTATGTTATCCCTGTCTATACATACTTTAAAAAAAAAAAACAAAACATGGAATGATTGTGGTGAACTGGGGCTCTCAATAGAAGTGTCAGTGTGTGACATCCCATGTGGCTAAAGATGAGCCACTCTGACTAGACAGATGCTGAAGCTACTGAGATTCTTCAGCCAAGTGCAAGCCTTTAACCAATTTTTTTTTTTTCCACAGAACATTCCTCCCTCTGAACACTACATGGGGCCAAACAGCTTTAAAAATCTGGCTCAGGAAGCCCGGAAACTGGCAGACGGGTGAGCAGCATCAGAGGCACCTCTGCTTCAGGTTGGCTCTGCAAGACCAGACTTGAATAGAACTGTAGGGTGCTCAGACCAAGCACCATATTCATTCCCTCTCGGTTCCTTTGCAGCTACCCCCTTACCTTGAAACCATTTTTTAAACCACTTGGCTTTCAGTGAACATAGGTGGCCACTGGGCAGGATCATTTGGCAGGAGCTGGGGGTGGAGGTGTTGGGTTCCCAGATTTCTCTGTGACTCACAGTATGGCTTTGGTCTATGTCAGATGTGACTCCTCGGGCCACATGAAATGAATCAGCCCTTGGAAAAGAACGCTCTGCAGCTTTCAGGGACTCGCAGGCTCCCAGTCCGAGCCTGGGAACAAGCAGCAACGAGTTGTTTGCTAGCCTGTGGGGGCCAAGTCTGCAGAGAGGTGATTTCCTCCCCAAAACCTGCTCTGCAGGGCCTCAACAACAACCTATAAATACAGACAGCTCCCAACGTTCATCCTTGCTTCTGACTTATTAAATCCTGCCTGCTTAAGACATTTGCTCATAGCAGAGTGCTCAGCAGGGTGGCAGGCTCAGTTAATCCCTAGTGGAATTCAGTCAGCTGAAGGGGACTGGCTTGTATTTTTGCAGCATAAACTATCTCCTGAGATTGTTTTTATAGCTTTCTAGAACCAGGGGAACAAAAGCATCTGGGGGTTGACAAGCTTTGTTCCCCTTTGGGTGGCCCTCGTTTAGAGTTGCAGTGAACATGAGCAGGTTCCCGTCCATCTCTACTCTCCTCCCCTAGGCTTCCACTGATTATGCCATAAACAGAAAAGATCATCACACGGTCTATGACATGAGGCTAACTCTCCAGAATACCAACTTCTTAATAGTTCCTATAATTCCATCTACCAGTTGCCATTGACTAAATGATCCCATGCGTGTTATACTCCATAAGTTTTCAAATGGCTGGTTTTCCACAAGTAGATCACAGTCCAACTCCAACTGGACTCCAACTGCCAACTCTTGGCCAACCACTACCCAGAATCCATCTACTTTCTCAATTTATTCAATTCCTTTCTAGACAAACCAGTTTCACCACTTTTCTCCCTTGGTTTAAATGACACATCTGAAGTTATGTTATGAAAACTCTAATTCTCTTTTTTTTAAAAAAATCTTTTCAGTCATGTTGAGTCCGCCAGTAACATGGAGCAACTGGCAAGGGAAACAGAGGACTTTTCCCAACAAGTGCTATCACTGGTGCCCAAGCTTATGGACGAAGGAGTAAGAGGAGGCAGCCTGGACAGCTCTGTGGTGCAAGAGCTGGTGGGAAAGTATGTAATATGTTTTAACCAGTTCTCACGTGGACCAGCAAATTCAGGATCTTCTAAGATATGCTGCAAACCACACTTGAGGGACAAGAGAATGAGTGTTAGTTTGAGAGAAATCAAGTATCTTTAAGAGTGGATGAAGAAAAGTTAGATTAAGTAAGGTTTGTCTTTTGATTGGGAAATCTCAATGCTCAAAGACATTGTCACCCTCTTTGGTATTTAAAGGGTGTTATTAAACCCATCTGATGGTTTGGGGAATATAACAATAATATATTACCAAGAATTAGCAAACTTGGGTTCAATTCTTCTGACCAAAACTGTATAAACTATAAGACTTATGTTTAGATTTTAGGCAGAGATTCATATCTGACATGTAACCTTGTTTGGGTCTTCTGCATAATTCCAATTTTAAACAGGAAGGCAGATCTTACTTTTCTAAGAAGAGTGAATTTTCAAAGTCCTCTTTTCTCTCTCTCTCTCTCTGTCTTTTAAATCTTAGATTAGAAAAAACCAAGTCCCTGGCCCAGCAGTTGATGAGGGAGGCCACTCAAACCGACACTGAAGCAGATAGGTCTTATCAGCATAGTCTCCGCCTTCTGGACTCTGTGTCTCAGCTTCAGGGCATCAGTGAGCAGTCCTTTCAGGTGAGAACCTCTACCTATGTGCTTGTTGAGCAGAGAAATAGCCATAAATGCTTTCTTCTCTAGGGGTCCCATGTCATTCAGCCATCCAGCTTTTTCCTCCATGTTGACCTTTCCTGCTTTACGTTAGAAACGTTTATCCTTCTCATTCCCCATTTCCTTATTCTTAAACCCTAATTCTTGTCTCTGAAAAGACCTTAGCCCATTCTGAATCTACTAGTTGTTAAGATTTTTGTATCTCTTCCATAGCTGTAGAGACTGTTTGAAACCTTCAGGAAGTTATTATAATGTTTGGTGTTTACACTTGGATTCTTCTTATTGCACATCTGTTTGTATACAATCATCTTACATGATTGTTATGGATTGAATTGTATCCCCCAGAAATGTGTGCTGTAAATCCTAGCCTCTAGACTTGTGGTTATAATCCCATTTGAGAATGGGTTTTCTTTGTTAAGAAGCCTTATCAGTGTAGGTATGTTTAAGCAGTCAATCCCCTTTCTGATCAGATTAGGCATGGAGAAGTAAGCAGAGATGGGGGAAGAGAGATGTCAAGCCACATAAAGATGACCTAAGTGCAGAAGCTCAGAAGAGACAGGGACCTTTCCCTAGAGCTAGCACCCTGAATTCAGACTTCTAGTCTCTGAAACCATGAGCAAATAAGTTTGGTTGTTAAAATCATCCTCTTGTGGTATTTCTGTCATAGTAGTAATAGATAACTAAAACAGTGAGTGATAGATATCAAATGTCATTCTACTCAGAAGACTTTTTTTCTTCTTAAGTTTTACATTGTTTCTACTTATTAATTCCTTTAACTATTTCAAACTTATTAAAAACCAAAATCAAACCAGTTGCCATGGAGTTGACTCTGACTACATTGCAACCCCATGAGTGTCAGAGTAGATCAGTGCTCCACAGGGTTCAGTGTCTGATTTTTCAGAACAATTGAGAGGTCTTCTGAGATGTCTCTTGGTGAGCTCAAATCTCCAACCTTTCTATTAGCAGCCAAGGGCATTAACTGTTTACACCACCCAGACTAAAAAACTCACTGTAATCAAGTCGATTGTGACTCCTTGGGTTTCCAAGACTGTATCTCTACAGAAGTAGATTGACCAACCTTCCTTTCAAGGAGTGGCTGGTGGGTTTGAACTACCAGCCTTCTGGTTAGCAGTCAATTTAGTAGATTAAGAATATTCAGCTTTATATCTATAGCAAAAAGCACTAACTATAATTTCCACAAACATCGGTTCTCACGAATATATAAACTAACACACATTTTTAACTCCTCCCCACCCTACCCCTCCAAAAAAAGAAAAAAAATAGAACAGAGATAAAGTCTGTTTGACTGTTGAGGGCCTTGCTACCTGACTGCCATTGGTCACATTGCCTCATTTCTGTTAGGCTTTGGGTGTAGATGGTTGGTAACTGTTTTTGTAGCTTCTTTAAACTCCTCCACAGTGATGCCAGATCCTGAGAAGGCTGGTGTGGTAACTGGTGAACAGAAAGTCAGACTCATTTATTTCTTTGGGCTATCAGGTAGAAGCGAAGAGGATTAGACAAAAAGCTGATTCTCTCTCTAGCCTGGCAACCCGGCGTATGGATGAGTTCAAGCGTGTACAAAGAAATCTGGAAAACTGGGAAGAAGAAACCCAGCTGCTCTTACAGGATGGAAAGAATGGGAGACAGGTATTCTTTTGTTAATTTGTTCACTCAGCAAACATTTAGTGAATGCCTAACATGTGAATAAATATGGCAAGAGCAACCATCGGGCACTTTCTCCTTACAGAGGGAGTAACTGAGATGCAGAGACCTTGATGTAATCAGCTCCGCTCCACCCCATGAGTCAGCCCTCAAACTGAGGAATGGGACCTAGGCTTCCTAGGACCTATTTTGGGCAGAGTTCTGTCTACTAGCTCTGCTCCAGGAAGTATCTGGAGCTTAAAATTATATTTTGCAAAACTTTTCATGTCCCTGACAATGGCCTAGAGTTTGACCTGTTCACTATATGGGATGTGTCACTGGGTTGTAAAGTGTGCTCTGTCCCAGATTGTGGAGGGCTTTGCTATAGCACCCCTAGACTAGACAGAGAATCACAGCACCCTGTTGTCATGAAGAGAAATGTGTCGAATGATTTTGCTAGCAGGAATGCACTTCTTGGTGTAGGTTACATTTACTCTAATCTTGTCTATCTGACTATTTACAGAAATCAGATCAGCTGCTCTCCCGTGCCAACCTTGCTAAAAGCAGAGCCCAAAATGCACTAAGTATGGGCAATGCCACTTTTTATGAAGTTGAGAACATCTTAAAGAACCTCAGAGGTGAGTATTTCACAGTTCAGACCACTTGAGTATTTTAGAAGTTCAACCATGACTTTGTTTTGAATCCTCATATATCTCCCTAAGTGGTAGGTACCTTGGAGACTTAATAAATGTGTAGTAAATATATTCCTAAAGAGAAACATTCGTTAATATTTGATATAACGAGAAGAGGATCAAACTAGATATCGGAAGGCTTGAGTTCTGATCTCTGTGGGATCACATGACTGCGCTGAACTGGCTGCATGATCATTGTCAGTCACACAGAATTTCTGGACCCTAATTTCTAACTTTTTAAAGGGAAAGATTGAACTATGTGATCTCTAAGGCCCCTCACATACCAAACATACCATACCCATACTGATACTTTCCCTTTTCTTTGTAGCCTGGTTGTTTCTAATGTGCACCAATGTGGTTGCTTTGTGTTGATGATGGAGCAAGTTTAGTCACAAAATCTGGGTCCCAGGAGATTTGAGTTTTTGCCATCAAAAGATACGATTAAAGTCTCAGGCTTGTTTATTTACTGGAGACTAAAAGAGAAACATTCCTAAACTTTGGGGATTTTTTTTTTAATGGAAAGTACCTCTCCACCCATTCTATCCAATCCATAACTATTATCATTGGTGACTTAGGGTTCGAAGCCCTGGTTTGAAACTTTGGGCATCAAAGATTCTACCTACTTCTGATCCTTTTTGGGGTCTTGATATGCTTGCAGTGTTGGGGACCCAGGGCAGGATTATTGTCAGTTTCTATAAGCAAAGGAGGGAGTGCTGGTAGCGTAGTGCCTAAGGCATTTGACTGCTAACCAGAAGGCTGGTGGTTCAAACCCACCAGCCACTCCTCAGAAGGAAGGTTGGTCAATCTACTTCCATAGTGATGCCACCTTGGAAACCCAAGGAGGGGTTGCTATGAGTCGTGTATGACTCAACAGCAGTGCGTTCTTTCATTTATAAGCAAAGGACTACACGTGGCCCCTGAATGCCTCATTTAATATACTTTCTCCTGGACAAGAAAGAGTAGTTGCAGTCACAACTTCCCCTGCCCTCAGCCTCAGAGCAGCAATAACACACTCTGTGCCCCTTTCCTTCATTTACTGGTTATTTTTCATCTTCAGGGCAATGTTTTCTTCATTTCAGAGTTTGACCTGCAGGTTGGAGACAGGAAAACAGAAGCTGAAGAGGCCATGAAGAGACTCTCCTACATCAGCCAGAAGGTGGCAGATGCCAGTGACAAGACTGAGCGAGCCGACTCAGCCCTGGGCAGTGCTGCTGCTGATGCCCAGCGGGCAAAGAAGGCGGCAAGTGAGGCCCTGGGGATCACAGACAAGATAGAACAGGTAAAGAGAAATCAAGATGCGGACTGGCGGGCTTCACTGCATGTTGTTGTTGTTGTTGTTATGTGCCGTTGAGTCGGCCCCGACTCATAGCGACCCCTCCTTGGGTTTCCGAGGCAGTATCACTATGGAAGTAGGATTGCCCAACCTTCCTTCCGAGGAGTGGCTGGTGGGTTTGAACCGCCAGCCGTCTGGTTAGCAGGCAAGTGTCTTAGCCACTATGCTACCAGAGCTCTTACTGCATAGAGGTGCATAAAAGTGGAAGAAGAGAGAGCATTGGGCTCATTGTGAGCCCAGTTTGCAGAGTCCTATTGTGGTCCAGGGTGGCCCCAAATCCACATGCTGATTCCTAAAGCTGTGATTGACTGCATGCTTCAGCCTGATATTTTCATTTCCCTCATTGGACAACATCATAAGAGGAACCATCCAAGATTGTTTTTTATATAGATTGTCATCGGTGGTTTGATTCCAGCTTATGAAATTCTGGAGTTCTACATCCCTCTCTCCTGCCCATGTCCTTCATCTAAGCTCCATTTACTTGTTTTTCTCTTTCTTTATACTATATGATAGCACTATGCTTGGTGTTGGGGATCTGGAGATGAGAGAGACCCCTCCTCGAAGAGCATTCAGTGTGATGGAGGCAAGGGAGACAGACAAGTAACACAACACATGTGGTACATACTCCAGTACAAAAAGCACCTGCCAACTGAAAGAGAGCTTTTTTAATTTTTATTTAAGCATGAATGCTACAAAGGTTATGCAACTCTATAGAAAAAACCCAGAGGGAACTCTTGATAGCTAGACTATTTGGCTTCATTCATGGAGCACTGGTCACTAGCAAAACTAGTTTAAAAATTTAAAGTAACTTTCTTCTCATATTAATCTTATGCTATGTCTATAATTATCAGAATATCTTATTTATTTTTATTATACATGTTTAGTGTAAAAACATCATGAAATTAAAAGAGTGTATAGCCAAAAAATATTTGAATTTTAAGTCTTTTGAAGGTAGAGACCAATTCCATATGCTTCTCTTTGTATGTTGTTGTTGTTATGTGCCATCGAGTCAGACCCAACTCATAGCGACCCCTCCTTGGGTTTCCAAGGCAGTATAAGGAAGGTTGGGCAATCCTACTTCCGTAGTGATACTGCCTCGGAAACCCAAGGAGGGGTGGCTATGAGTCGGGGCCGACTCGATGGCACATAACAACAACAACAACAATCACTATGGAAGTAGGTTGCCCAACCTTCCTTCCGAGGAATGGCTGGTGGGTTTAAACCGCCAGCCTTCTGGTTAGCAGTCAAGTGCCTTAGGCATTATGCTACCAGAGCTCCTTCTCTTTGTATAGTTTCTAGCATAGCAATTCCTGCAATTTGATTTTTAATGATAGTATATTGATAAAGATATTGATGAGCTTACAAAAAGCAAAAAGTCAAAGCTGTAGGATCATTCTCTGCACCACAAGCCCAAGTGTCTCAGAGATCCTACTAAAGTCCTTCAAAAGACTGGCAGTAAAGGAACATGACAGAGAAGAATGTGAGTTTCTTGTTTTCTGGGTTTTCCCAAGTGGCTACTATTGTGTTCACCATTTGGTGAGCATTGAACTGAGAGGGAAGCACTGTTTCATGGCTGACCCTCTTAGTCCCAAGAGACAGACCCCAAAATTAACTTGTTTGAGGCAGAGCCTGGGGAAGGGCGTGTCCCCAAGTCTGACTTTCTCATTGTTCATGTAACTTACCCCATCAGGGCCTGGCTGCAGCTGTATTTTTTTCTGCAATAGTCTTTGGGATGTTTTCGTGTCTGACCCCTATCTCTCCTTCCATCTCTGGCTCCTTTTCTTCTCCCAGGAGATAAGGAGTCTGAACTTGGAAGCCAATGTGACAGCAGATGGAGCCTTGGCCCTGGAGAAGGGCCTGGCCACTCTGAAGAGAGAGATGAGGGAAGTGGAAGGAGAGCTGGCAAGGAAGGAGGTAGAGTTTGACATGGATATGGACGTGGTGCAGATGGTGAGTTTCCGTTGCTTTCCACGGGAGGTCCCCTGAACCTTGCCAATATGAGAAACACCCTTTCCAGACTGGTTTGTACTTATTTTTTCTCAGGTAATTACAGAAGCCCAAAGAGTTGACTCCAGAGCCAAGAACGCTGGATTTACAATCCAAGACACACTCAACACATTGGATGGCATCTTACACCTCATAGGTACATGGCATATCCACAACCTTCCAGCCCCATGCCACAGGGCTTTTCCCCAGAAGACTCGCTATACCCACCCTTGATGGATGGGAGTCTCAACTTTCCCTGAGGGCATCAGATTTTGGTTTATTTCCAGGCCCAGTTCCTTGGGGCAGGTAACTTTACACTTTTCAGGACTCTGTTTGACCATCTCTAAGCTGGTCACTGAACACCTATTGCCCTTGGAAGTGGAGATCTGAGGGTCAAATAACTAGGTGGATTCAGGGAACTTCACAGCCAAAGAGAAATACTAAACAAGTTGACGGCCCTGCTAAGAAGTTTGGACTTGATCCTCAGAAGCCAGTGGGTGGTTTTAAGCAGGGGAATAACATCATTACAGTATATTTCAGAAAGATCAATAGGGCAGCTGAGTAGAGGAGAGTTTAAAGAAGGATTAGACAGAAGGTATGATGGGACCACTTAGGAGACTGTTGAAATAATCAAGAAGATATTTGATGGGTGCCTGGTCTAAGGTAAGAGAAGTGGTGAGGTAAGAGAAGATTCTCTGGTCTGTGAAGTCAAGAGTCATTTGCTAATTCTGCAGTTTGTTCCTACCCACCACCTACCAGTTGCCATTGGATCAGTTCCAACCAAGGCGACCCCATGTGTGTCAGAGTAGAACCATACTCTATAGAGTTTTCAAGGGCATCTCTAGATGGACTTGAACTGCCAGTCTTTTGGTTAGCAGCTAAATGTGTTCACCATTTGCATTACCCAGGAACTCCTTGTTCTTTTCCAAACCACATTTATACTTTGACATTACCAGTTAGAGAGACTTGATTTGCCTGTGTAGATGACCCAGGAAAAATGTGAAGGTAGTAGGTCCATGAGATGCTTCAATTTAGGATAAAAAGGGTACGAGGGCACAGTGTGGCAAGAAATCAGGTTTCTCCATGGAGACCTCCCAATAGAAAACTGATCTGAACTACAATTTTGGATTTAGGTGGAGCTGGTATGGAACCCTCATATGACCTGTTTTGATAAACTTAGACTGGAGTAGATATGGATCAACGGATTTGGTCATAGATTTGGTCAAGAGAAAGGCTTGGTTCTATTTTTCCAGTTCAGTAGAACAACTTTAAAACCTGATTTTTCTGTGGAGTATCATGGTAGCCCTGAGAGACCCATATTGTCTGCATTGTTATACTAATGGATCTTTTTTTGTGATCCAGTGGGCCAAAGGAGTGAAATACCCTCTAAGCTTAATTGAGATTTTAGCAGCATTGTTTAGTGTTCTGAAAAAGGCAATGAAACTAACAGGGCCTTTAAAGAGAAAGTCAGAGATGGTAAAGACAGGGTAGGTGGGACCTATTAAGTATTTCCTATGTGTCCGTGGCAGGAATTCTGGTAGCATAGTGCCTAAGGCACTTGACTGCTAACCAGAAGGCTGGCAGTTGAAACCCACCAGCCACTCCTGGGAAGGAAGCTTGGGCAATCCTACTTCTGTAGTGATACTGTCTCAGAAACCCAAGGAGGGCTCACTATGAGTTGGGGCTGACTCGACGACACATAACAACAACATGTGTCTGTGGCAGCTAACAACGTGTATTAGACACCAGGAGTTTTCATGGTGTTATATTCCTTAAGTCTTACAAAAGTTCTATGAGGTAAGTTTTATTATTTTATTTTACAGAGGACTAAACTGAGGCTCAGAAAGGAGCCCTAGAGGCACAGTGGGTAAGCACTCTGTTGCTAACTGAAAGGCCGGTAGTTCGAACCCACCAGCCGCTCCATGGGAGAAATATGTGGCAATCTGCTTCCATAAAAACTTACAGCCTTGGAAACCCTATGGGGACAGTTCTATTCAGTTGTGAATCATAATCAACTTGATGGCAGCAGGTTTAAAATGAGCTCAGAGATTAATAATGCTTTGGCGGTCACATAATAAATTGTGGAGGCAGTATTTGAACTGAGGTCTCTTTGTCTCCAATGCTTGTACTCTTTTCTAGAAACTCATGCTGCACCCCATGGTCATGATTATGTTGTCCCAAAACTTATTTAACATTCTCTGTGTGTCATAGAATTTAGAACAATTCTTGAATTTCCCCCACTCCAGGTGAAGAAAAGTTCCATTAACCACATTTTCGTTATGGTGTTATTTCCATCCGAGTTGCTCTGTTGAGTCCATGAACAATAATACTACATGCATTGTTATAAGTACAGTAAATCCATGCATTCAGTTACCTTCACTGCAGCTCACATATGTTGAGCAATCTGGCCTTGGGTTTAAATTGCTTGAGAATGGAGCTCATTGGAGCTGAACAGGTCTGGCCAGGTATCCTTCATGCTCACATTAGTTTTAGGTAGTTTATGGGTGAAACATATCTGAACAAATGTGACTAAGCTTCCTATTGAAAATAAACTAATATCTACCAGATTCCCACTGTTTTAGGCCAGAATGAAGTCTTACATCATTTCCTAACAGCTGGAATCCATCCTCAAAAAGCAAAGCATACCTTGGCCTTTAGAAACCCTGAAGCCCAGCCAGTTCCTAAAGGTCTTCTAGCAGAAAACAGCAACATATTTCCTAAGAGTCCTTCTGAAAGCATAATTTGGAGTTGACTCTGATCCTGAGGGTGAGCTGTGCTGGACAGACACCTTGGAAAATGCTCAGTCCCTATGACCTTTAACCTTCATCTTTTCAGAGCGTGAACTGTTGACCTTAACATAAAAAGAGAAATCCGAGCTTCATGTTGCTGAACAACAGAGCACAGAGTTTGGAGTTGGGCTGTTCATAAGCCCTGTGACTAGGCTAGTGTTCTCAGAATTTTTCCTAGATTATTTCTACTTCAAATAATGCCTTCTAAATGCATGGCATACCATTTGCTCTGGGCAGGTAGAAACAGAAATTAGTTAATGGTGCAGAAAGAACCACATGTGTCCAGAAAGACCTGACCAGTTTTTCTACAGTAACTGCTTTCTTATTCCCTAAAACAGACCAACCTGGAGGCGTAGATGAAGAGGGGCTGATCTTATTGGAGCAGAAGCTTTTCCGAGCCAAAAGCCAGATAAACAACCAACTGCGGCCCTTGGTGTCAGAGCTGGAAGAAAGGGCGCAACGGCAGAGGGACCACCTCCGTTTCCTGGAGACAAGCATAGATGGGATTCTGGCTGATGTGAAGAACCTGGAGAACATTAGAGACAACCTGCCCCCAGGCTGCTACAACACCCAGGCTCTTGAGCAACAGTGAAGCTTTAATAGAGATTTCTCAACTTAGGTTCTTGGGACACAGACTTCAGGGCTCAGGAGCCAGCTCGTGTGGGTGGGGTGGGATGGGGACAGTTGAACATGTTGAATGGGCGTGCTCAGGTCAACTGAACCTGACCCTGTTCCTAAGACTCTGGCCAGGAGGATATCTTATTGCACCAGCTTCCTGATGCTAGGAAATAAGACAAATAGGATCGGGTGTGAGACTGATCAAGGCCCTGTGCCCCAAAGAATAGACTGGATGGAAGGACAAACTGCATGGGCAATGTTTGCTTCAGAAAAGCCATAAACTGTGAGTCCTGGTGTATGGACAAGAGATGTTGGGTTATAGTCAGCTTATTCATTGAATAGTGGAACTGAAGGAAAATTTTCTGACTTTGCTCAGGCGTAAAATTCTTCCTAATGTCAGAACATACAGAGAAATTAGTCACACTGTGGCCAGTAGAATATTTTTGCCTGTATCGTCCAATGCAAAGTTCTTGTTTATCAGAAGTCCTTCCACTTACCACCCAGAACATAAACACTGTCAAACTAGAAGAAGTCAGCAGTGAGGACCTGTAGGCTGGCCCATTTGTAGCAGGATATCGGGTGCCCTGCCACCTTCAAGTTCTTCTGGGTCTGGGAGTAGCATCTATTTTCCTGATGATGCCATGGCAACTTAGAAGACTTCCTTCCCATTACAGCATTTCCTACCAACAAAACGTAAATGTTGAGAAGTACTGGAAGAAAAATGTGGCTTGAGCCTTGAAAGAGGTGAAATTATCTAGATGATTCATTAATACTAATTCCATCCCACTCTTCAAACACTAAAAAAATATACATCTATGTATTTTACCTTTTTTCTTTCTCTCTCTGGCAGACAATGTTCCTATCCATACTCGAGCTGAGTAGAATCCATATCCATCCATCCTTCCATCCATCCATTCATCTATTCATCCTTACAACACCTATTTATTGATAACCATTGTATGCCAGGGGCTGGGGGCGATACAGTGGGGACATAGTCTCTGCCCCTCACAGAGTTGATTGTCTAGTGAGGCAGACAGACATTTTAAAAAAAATTACACTTACACATTGTGTTCATCACAAGCAGTGTTTATTGCAGTAACCCTTGGTTTGCAACCTCTTTTCTCAACAGAACTTATGTTGCAAGATACTCCCATGGGGACACTTGGGTTTTGGCAAAGTTGAAATGGCTCTGGATTGTGCACACTTCTTGGCACTCCAGCAGTCACTCCACCCCTTTCCATAACTTATTGCACCACACTGTTGAGTCATGATAACACCAGTGGGAATTGCTGGAGAAACCAGAGCCACTTCCACCTCCACCTGGAAGACTGGTGCTTCTTCATCTCTGTATTTCCTTGGTTTTTCATGGATGTGCTTTTAAATAAAAAATGATTATTAGATGCCTGTGGTCAGTTTCTCATGTATAAAACTCTGAGCCTAAGATGGAGGTACCAAAACTATAGAAACTAAAACCATGGAAACAAAATGGATCCTAGAGTTAGCATCTTCAATTCCAGTTTTGAGCATCTCATTTGCCCTTTCTAACAAGAAGAACACTTTATGAGATTCAAACGGTGCTGTCTCCTAATCATGAGGAAAGATTTATTTCTGGACAACCCAAGCTGGGTTGGAGTAAATAATGTGTGTTTTTTTTTTTTTTTTTTTTCTTTTTCCAGCAGCTGTTAAAAAAAAAAAAATTGTTTGTGGTGTTTTCTTACCTTTTAATAAATTAAAAACATTAACCCTGATTGGGAGTCCTGGTGGTGCAATGGATAAGTGCTCAGCTGCTAAACAAAAATGTGGTGGTTCAAACCACCAGTGGCTGTGCAGAAGAAAAGACCTGACCAGGAGAAAAGACCTGACAATCTGCTCCCATAAAGATAACAGCCTGGGAAACCCTATGAAGCAGTTCTACCCTGTCCTACAAGGTCACTGTAAGTTGGAATTGACTCAATTGACTCCATGGCACACAACAACAACAGCAATCCTGACTGCCTATCTACCTCAGTGGCTGAAGAAAGGATTTTACTTCTGTCTACATTGACCCACAAAATTTTGACAGGTCTGATCACTTTATTTTGCATTCTGTGAAAATGCACTTACAAATCCCATCTTAGAAATCAAATACATCCAAATTGGTAAGGAAGAAGTCAAACTACCCCTATTTGCTGATGATCTGATCCTGTACCTAGAAAACCCAAGATACTCAGTCAAAAATCTACTGGAACTAATTGAGAGATTTAGCCATTGTGGCAGGACACAAAATCAACATCCAAAAATCAGTTGGATTCCTCTACACCAGCAAAGAGATTGTTGTTGTTGTTGTTATGTGCCGTCAAGTCAGACCCAACTCATAGCGACCCCTCCTTGGGTTTCTGAGGCAGTATCACTACGGAAGTAGATTGCTCAACCTTCCTTCCGAGGAGTGGCTGGTGGGTTTGAACCACCAGCCTTCTGGTTAGCAGTCAAGTGCCTTAGCCACTACACTACCAGAAGAAATAAGGAAATCAATACCATTTACAATAGCTACGAAAAAATAAAATATTTGGGAATAAATCTTACCAGAGACACAAAAGACCTGTACAAAGAAAATTATAAAAAACTACTTCAAGAAACCATAAGAGATCTAAATAAATGGAAGAACATCCCATGCTCATGGATAGGAAGATTGAATATTGTGAAAATGTCAATTCTACACAAAGCAATCTATACATTCAATGCAATCTCAGTCCAGATCCCATCAACATTTTTTTAAGGATATGGAAAAACTCATCACTAACTGTATATGGAAAGGAAAGAGACCTTGGATAAGCAAAGCACTATTGAAGAAGAAGAACAAAGTAGGAGGTCTCACATTGCCAGATCTCAAAACATACTATACAGCCACAGTAGTCAAAACTGCCTGGTATTGGTACAATGACAGACACATAGACCAATGGAATAGAATTGAGAACCCAGAAATAGATCCATCAACCTATGGTCAGCTGATCTTTGGCAAAGGTCCGAAATCCATTAAATGGGGAAGAGAATGTTTGTTTAATAAATGGTGCTGGCAAAACTGGATATCCATTTGCAGAAAAATGAAACAAGATCTGTACCTCACACCATACACAAAAACTAACTCCAGATGAATCAAAGACTTAAATGTGAAACCTAAAACTATAGAGTTCCTCAAGGAAAAACTAGGGGCAAATTTAGGGGCCCTAATATATGGTATAAATAGACTATCAAGCATAACCCAAAATACACAAACAGCAGAAGAGAAACTGGATGAACCTTCTAAAAATTAAATTTTTATGTGCTTCCAAAGACTTCTCCAAAAGAGTCAAAAGAGAACCTACAGATTGGGAAAAATTATTCAGCAGTGACATATCTGGCAAGGGACTTATCTCTAGAATTTATAGAAAACTCCAACACCTCAATAACAAAAAGACAAACAATCTAATTAAAAAATGAGCAGAAGACATGAATAGACACTTCACCAAGGAGGATATTCAGGCAGCCAACAAACATATGAAGAAATGCTCATGATCATTAGCCATTAGAGAGATGCAAATGAAAACAAGAAGAAGATACCATTTTGCCCCAGCACTAGTAGCAACATTCAAGAAGACAGAGAATAACAAATGCTGGCGAGGATGCGGAGAGATTGGGACTCTCATACACTGCTGGTGGGACTGTAAAATGGTACAACCACTGTGGAAAGCAGTATGGAGATTCCTTTAAAAGTTGGAATTAGAAATACCATTTGATCCAGCCGTTCCATTACTAGGTATATATCCTAAAGAAGTGAGAGCCAGGACAAGAACAGACATATGCACACCCATGGTCATTGCAGCACTATTTACAATAGCCAAAAGATGTAAACAACCTAGGTGTCCATCAACTGAAGAATGGATAACCAAACTGTGGTACATGCACACAATGGAATACTATGCAACCCTAAAGAATTACCTAGAATCTGCAAAACAATGCGTAATGTGGATGAACTTGGAGGAGATTATGCTGAGTGAAATAAGTCAATCACAGAAGGACAAATATTGTATGAGTCTGTTATTATAAAAGTCAAGGAAAGATTTATCTATGGAAGGTTACCAGGGGTGGGTGGGGAGGGGAGGGAACACTGTTATATAGGTAGAGATAAGTATTGGTTTGGGTGAAGAGAAGGGCAGTGTACCAAATGTGAGTGATCAATATGGTGGCATTGAGGAAGACAAAGACATAGAGAGATACATGGGAGGTAGGGACATCAAAGATGAACACTTTTGCACATACAGTACTGCGTTGTCACTGAAGGCAAACGTGGGTATATGGGTGGACAGATGGATGGACAGGCTGAACTAGTAGGTATGTCTATGAAGTGGAGAGTGTACCCAAGACCATGTA